GGGCTTCATGCATATTAGGTGTCTTAGTTACTGTTCTATTGCTGTGAAGAGATGCCATGACCAAGGCAACTTATAAAAGAAACCATTTACTTGGGAGCTTGCTTACAGTTTCAGAAGGCTAGTTTAGACCCATCATGGCAGGGAACATGGCAGCAGGCAGATGGCTATGGCACTGGAGCAGTAGCAGAGAACTTACATCTTATTTGAAAGATGGGGTCAGGGAGAGAATGACTGTGTCTGATGTGGGCTTTTGAAACCTTAAGGCCTAATCTAGTAATATATTTCCTCTAATGAAGCCATACCTCCTAATCCTTCCCAAAACAGTTCCACCCACTGAGAACCAAGCATTCAAATATATGAGCCTATGGGGGCCATTCTCATTCAGAACACCACACTCGCAAGCACTCTACAACGAAGCTTTGTCCCCAGCTTTTATGTATGCTATGCATGGCTGCAAAAACTTTAATATTTACTTATTTATCTGTTTATTTCTTTTAGTTTTTAAAAATAATATCTTGCTATGTAGCTCAGGCTGGCCTCTGAACTGACTGTACTCCCTCTGTGTCAGTCTCTTGTGTGCTGAGATTGAGGCATATGCCTCAGACCTGGCTTCCTGCAAAGATTTTAAGGTCTGTGCAATCCTGAGCTCTCCCTGCCTCTCCATTTCTGGAGGTGTCTGACTTCACAGGTCTGCCGATGAACTCAAATTAACATAAAACCATCCAGGACACTTCCTAAGCCTTCCCAAACAATTCTACCAAGTAGGGAAAATATTCAAATATTTGAGCCTGTGGGGAACATTCTCACTCAAAGCATCACAGGTGGGTTTGGAATTCTGGTCTCTCTTAACTAGAATTCTGGTTTGGAAATTATTTTCCTTTAGATTTTCTTTTAGACTTTTTTCAAACTTTATTTTATATGTATGAATATTTTGCCTGCATGTGTGTGGAGGCCAGAAGAACTGAAGTTACAAATAGCTGTGAGTCGCTGTGTGGGTTGTGGGAACTGAACCTGGTTTCTCTGCAAGAGAAACAGGTGCTCTTCCCCACTGAGCCATCTCTCCAGCCTCATGACCCTTTAGATTCTTGACAGGTGTACCCCATGGCCTCTAACTTCCAGTGTTTCTGGGGGAAAGTCAAAAGTCATTGTAATTTGTGATTTCTCTATTTGACTTTTACTTCCTCCTCTCTTTCTACTTCCTGGTAGGATCTTCTTCCTTCTCGATGGCATTGGGACCTTCCACAGAAATGCACTTTGCTCTGTGTGGGTTGATCTTTGTGCCTGGGACATTGGTAGAAGTACGGCTTGGAGGAAGTTTTTGGATGATTTCTACAATGATGACTTCCTTCCCTGCCAGTTCTTTCTTTCTGGAGCTGTTATCTGGACCAGCAGGCAGATTTATCAATGTTCTCATACTTTATGTTCATTTTTATTCTTTCAGTTTGTTGCCATTTGGGAGACCTGCTCAATTTCTCTTCCAGCTCCATTCAATTGACTTTCCCTGGTAGAGCACCCATTTTTTTTTCCTTTATTGAAAATAGATTTTTCTCTCATACAGTACATCCTGGCCACAGTTTCCCCTCCCTCCATTCTTGCCTCCTAGGTGCAATGTCTTATTTTTTCTCCCTTGCAATGTTAATTTCAGGTCCCTTCCCCCTTACCCCCCACCCCTGACTAGCCCTGCTCAAGGGCTCTGCTGTGGGAATGATCTGTTTGAGCCTGATTTCTTTTCCTTTAAGTGGCTAGTCTTTGTGCTTCAGGTTTTCTGCAGATGTCTAAAGGTTCCTGGTTGCTTGCATATTTTTTTAAAGTAAGGGACTACAAACTTAATTTTAAGAGATTTGCGGAACACAGGTAGCTGTGTGAGACAGCTCTCCAGCCATAGTCTTTCCTACCTCTTAATTATCTCGCAATATTAAATAGCAAGAAAGAAAGAAAGAAAGAAAGAGAAAGAAAGAAAGAAAGAAAGAAAGAAAGAAAGAAAGAAAGAAAGAAAGAAAGAAAGAAAGGAACCATGGTGGACCCTGGAGGGAAGAAGTAACAATTATAATAATTACTCTTGAATTGAAAGAAAAAAATCATCTTTTCTTCCTCAACCCTCAAAAGAAAACATGAAACTGCTTTCTCCCCCAAATTCTCTATTGCAAAAAATAGCATGGGATTAGTACGTGGCTATGTGGCATGTGGAAACCACTTAAACTGTGAACGGGCTTGGAGCTGCTCTCCCTCCCACAGCCCTGAGTCACCAGCTGATTGCTCGCTCATCACTTCCTGTTGGTGAGCTGCACTGGGTCTCATCTCATCCTATCACAGCAGAGTAGCCACTCCCAGCACCAAGGCCAGGTCAATGCTGGCCTCTCTGTAGCCCCACAAGAGGAGGGGCAGCCGTTGGGCAATTAGTGCATGAGTAGCTTTCTCAGGATCTGTTTCTCCTCAACTCATCACACAGCAAAGGCTGTTGTTCGTTTTAATATATGCTGAATAAAAAAGAAACCAATAAGAATATTTTTAAAAATCATAGGAAAAAAAAAGCAGTTACATATCTTTTACATGTTTCTTTGTTTGCTTGCTTGCTTTGTTTTGTTTTTGAGACAAAGTCTCTGTATCTAGCCCTGGCTGTCCCGTAAGTCACTAGGTAGGCCTGGCTAGCCTCCAACTAGCAGAGATCTGTCTGCCTCTGCATTCCAAGAGCTGAGATTAAAGGCATGAACCACCACACCTAGCTTGCCCTTTGATCCCTGACCTCTGCACCCCAAAATTAACACACGTGTAAGTTGGATGGTGTGGTGCTGAGGGCAAGCAGAAGTTCAAGAACATTAACGTAAGCCTCAAGATTTGCCAGAAAAGGACCGTGGGTCGCTGCAGGCCCAGCGAAGCAACACCATACATGTTACTGTGGCCACACACCAATCTCAGTCAGCTGTTGGGCATTCAAGACTCCCGATGTTTCTTCAGTTGCACCTGCAAATGCTTCCTGCTTGGGGTATGACCACTGTGGGCTTGTGGGCAGGCAGCTGCATCATGGCATTGTGCTCAGACATCAACGGCCTTGTGCCTCTTTGTCGGTGGCCTTAGAGCAGTTCTTCTGTCCGGTTGTCAAGGGCTTCAGTCTAAACTTCAGGACGGTCCTGTGAATGCCTCAGTACCGCCCTGTTGGGGTTGTTCTCTGGTGTCATAACTCCTACCTTTTCTGTCTCTTGCCATTCCCCGTATAAGCAGTCACTGCTGATCTGTGGTGAGCCCTTACTCTGGGCTACACCCTTGCACTGTGCCACTGTTACCTGTGGGTTATTTCAATCTTCCCATTAGCAGATAGGAAAACTGAGTCACGGGGTGATTTAAGTTACTTGTCCACAGCCATGGAGTACAGGGCAGCTGACACTGGGCCGTGCTCTGATGCTGCTCAACCCTCCTGACTAAACTTCAGTGTTTTCAGACCTGGCCCAAGCTTGCTCTCCAGCCAGTCCTCTTCCTGGCTAGCCACACTGCCTATGCCCTTGCAGTGTCTGCTCCTGTGCAGCTGGCTCACTGTGCAGGCTCTATTAGTTGTCTTCTGTGTCCTTCCCATCACTATGGAGTCTTGGTAGGTCACCAATCCCAGAGTCTAGTTTTACAGTCTAGAGCCTGAGAGTCAGAGCCTGTCATCTCTTCTGAACATGCCAAGGGCCTGGTGGAACAGGCAAGGGGGGCAGTGGACAGGTACCTGTCCAAGGTATGTAGAACTGGGCTGATGGGCTGAGGGTAGCACAGTGGGTTTGAGACAGGCTTGGTCCTGAAGTGAAGAGTGAGATGCTAAGCCTGAGCCTCTCCAGAATGGCCAAGAAAACAGAATAGGCCAACCTGTGGACATGAGCCTGGAGGAAGCAAGCAGCCAGGCTAGGAGAGTAGCAGAGCATGGCTGGGAATTGGAGGGAGCCTATTTTAAAACAGGGATGATGATGCTGGAAAGATAGCTCAGCAGATAAGAGCACTGTCTACTCTTCCAGAGGACATAGCACCCACATGGTAGCTCAAAGTTTTCTGTAACTCTAGTTACATGGGATCTGACACCTTCACTCAGACATACATTAAGGCAAAACACCAATGCACATGAAATATAAATAAATAAATAAATAAATAAATAAATAAAAGAATCAAAACAAAGTAACAACGATAATAAAAACAAGGGATGACAGGAAAATTAAAGCTATCTTTAACTCTCCCCACAAGTTCCAGGTGTCCAGGCCCTTGTACAGGCAACAGTACAAAGGGCCTGTCACCCACTGATGATTTGGGACTGGACTTGAGGGTGGTAGGTAGTTGCCACCATCTTGCTCCTTGCTCTACACACCTACCTCTAGGATGGCTTCCTTGCTCCATGCTCCATCTTTCTAAGCATCCTGCTCCCCACAGACCTTCCCGGAGAGCCTTGCCATGTTGTATTCCCTCTCCCATGGAACCCAGAATTGCCTCCCAGCTATCTGTTTGTCCAGGTCAGAAGGAGGGTGAGCCCCTGTGAACATGCTGGAGCCCACTGACTATGGAGTCAGCTTTAAGACAGACCCAAGGCACAATGGCCTCGTCTATACACACAGGAGATGCCAGTCTTGGGACTCATCACTGTCTTAAAGAAAGTCATCATTGGTGTATGTGTGTATCTTCTGTCTAGGAGCCTGTGGTTTTAGATTAATCATATCCACAAACATTTAGAAAGTCAATTTAGAAGAAAATTTACATTTTATTCCTGCATGGTTTCACCCAAAGCTGTCCTACGGACAGTAAAAGGAAGTCTACAACGGGTTGCAAATCATAACAAAACATTTTGCCTCTGGGATGGAGCTGCTGCTGCAGGCAGAACCTGGGTCGGCTTGGAAGCAATGTTTTCGGGGGTCTAAAAGAGAGGTGTCACATTGTATCTTCCTCAGCAAATATCTCATGTCTGCCCCCTCTAGATTGTCTTCCACAGCCTCTGCTTGCAGAAACAGTGGCTTCGTAGACTAACACCTGTCTTCCCTATGCAGGTACCATGACCAGCAGGACGTCACTAGTAACTTTCTGGGTGCCATGTGGCTCATCTCCATCACGTTCCTTTCCATTGGCTATGGGGACATGGTGCCCCACACATACTGTGGGAAAGGTGTCTGTCTTCTCACTGGCATCATGGTGAGTACCGCCTCAAGGTGTTTCAACAGCAGAGAGGAGCCTTCCTGGGGAGGAGTAAGGTGCTAGTCTCTGGCACTCATGCCTATCCCCTGCATATCAAAAGGCAAGTGTGAAGTGTGCAATCCTAGTTTTCAAAGCCCACCCCCAAAATGAGTTGGAGTTGGGTGCTACTCTGACCCTCTGCTCACTGCCAGGGAACACCAGGCTTTTAATTCACCATGCTCCTTCCTGTGTCCCAGCACACAGTTCTGTGTCCTTCCTGTGTACCAGTTCTGATCAAGTTTAGCTGGAGCTCAGAATAGAACACTGAGCCAGCCTGAAGGGACCTGTGCCTTGAATGGGATTAGCTGCTGGCTCCAGTCCTGGTTTGCCCACGCAGCTCTGGACCAACTCTTGCCCTTTCCAGGCTTTGCCTTCCACACTTGTTCATTGGAGCTCTGGCTCTGAGTGCCAGATGCCAGAACGGGTATGCGATAAGGCCAAGGTCTCTAGGCACCCAACATCAAGGTCTACTTTTTCCCACCCTCAGCCAAATGCCTCAGGATCTAGAGGCCTCTCAGACACATGTGTTTCTGCCTTTCACTGGGTCCTGTGCAGCATGCAGGAGGAATGTGGTGCAGGAGTTAGACACCGGACTGGGATTTTCACTATGCCCTCACAGTGGCCTCTGGGAAGTCACTCAGCTACCACCTGTGGAACCTGTACTCCCCTGGGTAAAGTGAAGCTGGACACATGACTTCCCTCCTCACTGGCTTGTAGACCCCAAGAAATAACTGCTATGAAAGTTCTGGGTAACCAGTAAGAGGTGCATCAAGGCTGTTGAAGCAGCTGGGGCTGGGAAGTACTTTAGGAGTCGGACTGGCAGAGTCCCCCTTTGATGTTCTACATGGAGTCGTAGAATCAATACCAGACTTGTTTCATTCATTCACCCCTGCTGAAACCACATTCCCAGAAGAGGAAAGACCCTAAAGAAGGACACACAGCTCTGCCTAGGGGCATTGAGGCACAGATAGGAGGCCTGAGTGTGGAGACCTGGTTCTAGGTCCCCACGGGCTGGACCCTCAGGCCTCCCAGCACTATCCTGCTCTGCAGCCCATCCTGCTGCTGTGACACCTGTGACACCCTCCTTTCAGGGCTCCTCTGATTTCAGCCTCTTCCTCACTGTTCCCAGGAAGCAGGACAGCTCTTCCTGTGAGGCAGTGACCTGTGTCTGCTGAAGAAAAAGTTCCAGCTAACCTCCATCAAGGGAGGGCAGACTGTACCTCTCTACTCAGGCTGGTGGCCATCTGAGCTGATGTGGGTGGGCAGGAACCAGCCGGTCACTAGGAGCAGAGGAGACCCCAGGGCAGTGGGATGGCTGGGCACAGCCTCCTTTCCAACTCCCAAGCAGGGCAAGCCAATGTGAGCAGGCAGTCTTGAAACAGCAGGTAGTAGCAGAGGCATAGTGCCAGGCTGGGATAAATCATGGCAAGTGTAAGGCTTTAGAACAAACACCTCCCATCATTCAGTAGGAGGTCCGTCTGGCAAGACTCCAATTGTCACCAGGAAACCAGGCAGAAAGTCTTCCTACCAGAAAGGAGTGAAATGCCACCTGAAGGCTGCGGCATTCCTTTGAGACTTCTGGAGTGGGCTTCAGCCCCACCCCAGCTCTCAGGCAGAGCGCCCAGAGCCTTGCTGCCAAGAGGCAGACCAGCCTTCATTAATTTTAAATACCAGCCATTCTCCCTCTCAGCATGAAGCTGTGCCCCATCCAAGAGGCTGCCCAGGCCCGCTCTTTCCCTGGCTTGCTGGTATCCTGTCTCCTGGCTTCTGCTCTAAAGGACAGGAAGGACTGGCCCAAGACCCCCCCCCCCATACCCTCACACACATCCTTCCAGCACCCTCTGTGGCTGCCTGGGCCACAATATTCCTTGTGGTTTCCAGTGGGATGATGCAAGCAAAGGACCCCACACTGCCCTCAGGTGTTAAAATTCTAGCACAGGCTTTTCCTGGGAGTGCCATACATAAGGCCCAGCTCCAGGAATATAAGCCTTTTCTCACAAAGGCTCCAGCTTGGGATGGTCCCTTTGTCCACTGTGTCTTTACCCATATTAAATGCCACTCACTCTGGAAGCCTGGTAGCTTTTTTTTTTTTTTTTTCCCTATTCAACGTGATTCTCCAGCTGAGTCATTCCTTTCTAGGGGCTTACATTGCTAAGGCCACCCCTCCCCAACATGATGTATATCTCCTGATTATTATTCCAAGGGCCTTGACTAAAGGTAAGGCATCCTGTTTGGTTACCATGGACACCACCAAGGCCAAGGCAAGGGCTGCACAGGAAGGGAAAGTGAAGGATTTAGTGTGCCTGCTGCAAATGGCCTTAATCATTGTTTTCCTTTGGCAATCCAGCAACTGCATAATTATCCACCACTAGGCAGGGCATATAGCTATCTGGACAACTTGACACTGTTGGCATAGGCCTGGAGCACTTGAGAATTCACTCATTAACACAAATTTACCTTGGGTTCCAGCATCTTCCCATGAGGAAATTTTCAGGGTACTTTACAATGTAGTTAATATTCAGCACCCAGAAGGGAAACAAGGTTTTTTTGCTTCTGTGGGCATCCAGGGGAGCCTCAGTGTCCCCAGAGACTTTGCAGTGGTAAGTATGTCAGTGACTCCACATCCCAGATCTGGATGCAATCTGCCATCCTGATGTGGGTTGTGGGCAAACAGGCCTGGCACCTGTCTGGTGGGACAGTGAGCTTTCCCCAGCAGGATCCTGTGAGATGAAAAAGAGGTGACACAGACCAAGTGACATTGGGGCAGTATAGGGAGGGCTCATCTGTGTCCTATCCAGTGTGGCTCTCCTCAGCACCTGGGTTTTGAAGCTGCTGATGGTATTTTGGCTGCTCCATAGAATCTGTTGCAGCACCAAGTAGGCCATAAACGCTCCAGGCAGCTCTCCTCCATTTGTCATTTTCATTTATGTTTTATTTCCTTTTATGCCTCTTAAGTTAAGAACGCTGCATACTTTCCCCCTTGGGATACTTGTTTTTCCAACGTCTAAGATTTTCCGTCTGGATAGCTTTCTTGGAAACCAGAAGTAGGAGGCCTGGTGTGGAGCAGTTGGGGTCCAGATTTGTGTCCAAATCTGCTGATGAGTTAGACATGTTCACCCCTCCAGACACCCCTTCTCTGACCAGTCTGCGTCCTCTGCTTATCTGTGTATCTTGTACAGTCTGACCTTGTTAGAGGTGGGTCTCTTGTGTGGGAACAGGACTTGGGTAGAATGGACTGAAGATTTCCATTGATGAGAGTGGATTCAGGTCTTAACATCTGACGGCAAGAGGCCAAGTCGTAGATTTGCTCCTTGTTGTGATCCCACAGGGGTCACTACAGCAGTCGCCACCTTTCTTATCTCACCCTACCCTCTCCTTACATGCCCCTCTGTCCCCCTCTGTCCACAGGCCAACACTGAGATTCTGAACCAGCACCTCATGAACTTCCCACACTACCGTTAAGCAGGCCCCTGATAGTCCACTTGCCACACAAAGCTGCACAATGGCCAGCCAACTCTTGCAACCATGTCCAGGTGGTTAAAACAACTCTGGGGTCACTCATGGGAAGCAAGATCCAAGGGAACATAGAGTGGTGAACCTCGGACCCATAGGGATAACCAGGCTGGCCACTGGTGTGGGGTGGAGGGGACTCATGGCACTTCCTGGGTGTCCTCTAAAGACCTTTGGCTTAAGTTCTTCATTCTTCCTTCTCATGCTCACTAACTGCTTTTGTTGTTGTCATTGTTGTTTGTTTTGTGTCTTTCTATCCCTGGCCTTCTCCTTTTCTGTTTTCTGGTTGTTTTCTATCTCACTCTCCATCCCTCCGCTCTCACTTTTCTCTTCCTCACTTACCCTGGACCAGCAGCCTGGGGCTTAGTGCTCCTCACACCATCTCCTGAGGGTTGTTGATGTTTGCCTCTTAGCAGACATTAATAGCTCTGGCATCGTCATTTGTGATCTCCATAATTACATCTAAAAGAAAGCAAAGAGTGCTGGCTGGCAAGATGGTACATCTGCTAAAGGAATCCTGCCATGCCTGATAACCTGAGTTTAATCCCCAGGAACCGTAGGTAGAAGGAAAGAACTGGTTTGTTTGCTGTTGTTCTCTGACTTCCATGTGTGCACCTTGGTACTCACACATACACACACACACACAAATAATTAATCTAATATGGTCTTCATTAAAATTGTGTGTAGCTACTGAAGTTGGAATGATGTTAAGATGATAGCATCCTCCAGAGAAATGTCTATGAGCAAGTATTTACATTTTTAAGTTGAATGAAATTAGGCACTGAGATTTAGTCTACTTTGCTGCCTCCATACCCAACCCCCACACAAAAGTATCTTTCTCATGTAAGATGGGTAGTTCCTTAGTTAAAGTACTGTACTTTGTGTTACCAGTCCTCTGCAGTCAAGCAGGTAGGCTGTGGTCCAGGGCTGGAGCTGCAGGGCTCCTGTCTAGACCCCAGCAGCTGGAGCATGACAGTTGTTTTAATGATGTTCCCAAGACCCATGTAGCAAAAGGGGAACTCACTCTTCAGATGTCATACCTCAGCTTTCTAGGATGATTTAAGTGGAATTCTTTTTAAACCTAGGGGAACCTGGGGAGAGTCCTCTCCCTCTGATGTTTCATTTTTAATGCTAGGACACATCCTTCTTTTTGGATGTTCCACATAAAGAAGACGGATGATGCCTGCTTCGCTTGGGGTAGGGGCATGTATCCTCCCTCCAGGACAGTTTCTTTTAAGCTATTTTTGCTTTTGACAGCCTGGCCAAATTGATTACAGCTATAGACGAAGCTGTCCAATTGCCCATATCCTCTGAAAATTGGGCATAAAGTCTTCAGCAAGTGACAGATGCCAAGAAAACACAGCTATCTCCAAATGGACTGGGAAAATGAGGCCAGAAAAAAAAAAGTTCACAAACTGGGAGTTGTACTTGGATTGGGTGGCCATGGACAGAGCATCACTTACCTGTGTTGATGGGATCCTTGTGGCATCTCACACAGGGTGGCCTTCATCAGGGGAAGAAAGGGCAGCTGTTATAAAATACATTTGTCCCAAGTCAGCTCTAGATTGCAGCATTTCTGAGAAATAGTCTTCTCATTTCTCACACATAGTATAAAACCTATTAAGCCAAAGTGTTATTGGTGGATTCCTTTATCCCAGAATCTCAAACTGCTAAGCTAGGCTCTGTGTTTCACTTTATGGCATGGGTGAATCCCTGTTGACATCCCCAAGTCTTCCACTTCTCTCCATAGAGTCTGCTCAGTGTGGTGCTCATGTTTAGGGAGAGAACAGTGATCTGTAAGCAGAGTCCAGGGATGGCGTCCATGAGCCATTAGAGAAGGGAATCTATCTCCCTCTCTCAGGACTCACAGGCCACCAAGCAGCACAGAGTAGAGTGATTCTAAACCCAGGGACACACCACTTTCCTGTCCCTGCTCGTTGCTCAGATTGTCAAGTGCATAGCTAAAATATGAGGCAGGAAAGGCAGCCCTGCTACTGTGTGGTTCAGCTCAGGCCTGCGGTTTTGCTTTTTCTTGCTGTGTTTTCCTGCCAGGGTTGGGAAATGGGGCTACCTGAGCAGACTACGAACATTATTCTGGAAAGGCTGGGGGTGTTCTGGGTCACTTAAATCTTGGCTGTAGGCAGAAGTGTTCTTACCTTTAAAATCCCTGTATGTTGGTGAATGCATGATGCTCCTTCTGAAAGCTGATGCCTTGTGCTGAGTCACAGCCTGGAGCCTCAGGGAGGAAGATCCATACGTGAGACAGGTACCCTAGTCAGTGACCATCATAGTGCTCTCTCTGGAGGCCATATTCATCTTTGGGGAGAATGTATTGCCTCTTCATTTGGCTATTCTCAGGACTCTCAACCGCCAGGTGTGGCCTGCACACTGCAGTCCACACAAGGATTTCTTTCCCCTGGGCCTGCTGGTGTGAGCTTGGACACATGAGACAGACAGACAGGGCCTCCATGTGCTGGACTCTCTGTCACCTGCCACACTGCATAGGAGCCTGACTACCCAAGGGTTGAATCTCCCCACCCCCACCCCCACCTACCACACATACATACACATAAAGACTCATTCTAGCCATACAGCACTGAGAACTGGCCAGCTCTGTGAAGAATCAGTTCCCACAGGTCAGCCAGGGCCACAGGCAAAAAGCATTGCCAAGCTCTTCTTTAGTGGGGTATCAGGGAGCAAGCAGATTTCAACAAGCTTTATGCCACATCTTGACCAGTCAGAGACTCGGAGTTTATACCCTTCCCTTGAAATGCTCACACTGAGCCTGGGGCACACTGAGTGCTGTGCTTTGCCTCCTAACTGTGTGTTCTCTCTCCTGGGGCCTTCTGACGTCCTCCCGCAGGGTGCAGGCTGCACTGCCCTGGTGGTAGCTGTGGTTGCCCGAAAACTCGAACTCACAAAAGCAGAGAAGCATGTTCACAACTTCATGATGGACACTCAGCTCACCAAACGGGTAAGACACCTTGTGCTCCTGCCTTCATGTAGGTTCACAGCTGAAGTGGGAGCTGGTCAGAAAGAGACCCAGACACCCAGTGTGGCTTAGCAATTCTCTGAGAGCAAAGTTGGGAGAACCCCAGCTCAGGCACAGCCCCTACTTGATGTCTGAATCCCAACAAACCAGGTGAGCCCACCACTAAGTCACTGCATGCTTCAAGGAACCAAATAATTTTCCTGATAATTAGATCAATAGCACACAGTGAAGGAAGCCACCTCCCTGCCAAATCAGGGACCTCCCTGGTCAAATCAGTCATCCAGTGAGATGCTGTGTTTTTGTTTATGCTCAAATGTTTTCATGATTCTCATTAAGTGCAGTGGAGAATCTTAAAATTATACTAAAGATGTATCTAAATCCAATCCCTTTTAAAAGTCATTTAAAGAGGTTATTCCAGTAGAGCCCACATTCTGAAATATTGTTTTTCATCAAAATGTCTTCATCCAGTTTTCTCCCTTTGGGCTGTCTGGATAATGGCTCTCACTTGCACCCTTATAAATGCAGCTTAGGAAGAAGATAAATTGAAAATGCAGGAATAGGGCCATCAGCTGCTGCTCAGATATTCCCACTGAATTGTCAGAGAAAAGGAAGGCCATTTAAGCTAGGCACAGTGATCTGAGAATGCAAAAGGCTGAGGCAGGAGGACTCCGACAAGTTTGAAGCCAACCTGGGCTGCCTAGCAAACCCTGCTTTAATACAAAATTTAAAAAAAAAAAAAAAACAAGCAAAAAGTAATAAGGTTCTTTTAGAACAGAAAAGAATAAGGCTTCTAGGACAACAGGCCAAATGAACTATTTCTTTAAGGGTAGCTTTAAGGAGCTATTTCTTTAAGGAAAGTTTTAGCTTTCTAGCAAGACTCTTATAACAAATGGCAGCCTGAAGGAAGGTCAAGTGTATGACCTCCTGAAAGACTGCTCTTCTTACGAACCAGGACCCTGTGCCCTATACAGGCTTTGGTCCCCAGGGAGACTCTTCAAGAGGACACGAATCTACCAGCAAACCCACAGTATTAGTTGGGAATTTTGAATGCTAGAGAAACTCTGTTGTGATCAACATTTCAAAGCTATAAAAATGTGTTAGAAATAGAGACAGGCAGGAAGAGAGAAGAGTAAGAGACCCCAAAAGGAGCAGATGGGCCCTCGGGGAAGACAGCGAGTGTATGCGGTAGCCACAGCCTCTGAGCTTCTCAGCAGAATTACTCATGGTGTTTGATTGTTGAGTCTTTGATTGGGAGTTCTTTAAAGAGCTGCCATAGATAGGAACCTGTTCAAGCAAATCTTGCCATATCATTGGCATTCAGACCATAAGATCATCAAGGCCCCAAGCCACCACCAGACAAAAGAAAACACAGAGCTCCAACATGACAGCATACAACACTGTCACCCTTCAGCACTCACATCAAATGCTGTGTGGACCCTTATCCCCAGCACCTCCCCAAGCCATAGCCAGGCTCTGCACCGTGGGGAAGGCTAGGGTTATGAACTGTACCAATGCAAGTGTCATCCTGAGTCAACTCAGCTCACTGCTTTGAAACCCTAAAAGTGAGGGAGAAAGGTTTTGTCTCCAGCTCTTCCCAGACGTTGTTTGCCAAGAGCAGAGACATTAACAGTCTCTGTTTACTCTGGTGGCTTTTTAAAGGCAAGAGTATACTTTGTATTTTCATGCTATTCCTTTGTTCTTTCCATTTTTCACCCAGTAAATCAGACACCAGAGGAAAATAAAACCAAGGAAAGCCAGCTCTTTCGTGTGCCAGGAAAATAAGCACATTTTTTTTTTCTGCACTATAATTGTGGAAGGAGATGAGGTTGTGGTTGCTAATTTCAATCTTTCAAAAATAATTCACTAAAATCCTGTCCGAGTTCACTTACTTTTGGAGGAATAGGGCTGGAAATCAAATCCGCAGATATTTGTTGCCCCTCTGAGTGCAGGGTTCTGTCTTAATTCAATGACATCTCACTGTTCTCAGAACACTTACATCTGCTGAAATGGCCCTTTAATATCTTATATCTTTTCCCAGAGCAATAAACACAAGAGAACAACTCTCACAGAGGGAGGTTGAAAGCTGGTGTGAAGGACACTTTAGAAAGGCCCTCCTATGCAGCCTTGACTGACCTAACACTGGCCCTGACCTCTGGCCACTAGGAAGCCTAGAGGGTCCTCACCTGTCCTTCACCCTTTCCAAACAGCCTGTGTGTCCAGCTGGAGTGACTCATGGGTCAAAGAGAGGTAAAGCTCAGGTCTCTTCCCGAGACTCCAGTGAAGTCTCAGAGAAAGGTCCAGTGTGGAAGGAGCTGCCAAAGCCCATTGCCATTTGGTAATGGATGATTAGTAGGCTTCCCGATCAAAGCAGATATATGCTATGTTAATCCCTCAAACATCTAAGCAGAAAGAAAACATGAACGTAGCCTGTGAGTCATTCTCATGTTAGTTTATCTAGCCTGTCAGGCTTCACCCAGAATTCCCAGGCAGCACTAGGGTGTTGGCACTAGGGAATGAAGGCAGCCTGGTGGCATGGAGGACGGACTTACTTCTGACTTTCCCAAACCCAGCAGATGTCTCTTTTCACCTGAATAGCTTGCCAACCTCAATGGCAACGTCGCTTCTGTATTTAGTGAGATCACTTCCCACACTGACTTTACAGTTGCTGCTGCTGTTAATCTATAATTATAACTTACTGCCAGCTCCTGGGCTACTTGATAATGTCTAAGGAAGTGACACGTAGCAACACTGCATGGACAAGAGATGACCCATGTACCTCACCAACTCCCCCACCTGTGGCTGGCTCTCCAATCAATTTAATAAGCATGTGCTGCTGGCTTGGGGTGGCCTCCCTCTCCTTGCAGAACAGTTCCTTGCTACACCCCATAATCTCATCGAACTACATTTCCTATGAAATCAGTGAGTAGAGCCAAACCCAGCAGCCCTGAACTGCTTCCTCTCTGACTTCCCAGGCTGCTTACAAATGTCGATGTCGCTCTAGCACCTGCCAGTTTTGACTGGTCTGTACCTTGCAGCCCATAGGCCCCTCACTTAGCTGTTCAAACATGATGACCGCTCCCAGGCTCCTCTTACCCCATCTACAAAGCACCCTCTTCCTAGTTTCCCTGCCCCAAGGTCTGTGTGTCCTACACCCACTTGGGGCCTCCCAGTCATCCTGCACTTTGCTTCCCCTTGGGTCCCCTTAGGCCAAATTTCACCCTGAACATTTCACTACCACATTCAAAAACCTCAAGCAATCCCCAGGACCTACTGAACAGTCCTGAATAAAGCTTGAACTCTGAGAAAATGTCAAAGGCTGGGGGGGGGGGGGGGGGGAATGTTTCCAGCAGGCTTATTCAAGGACTTATTCAGGCTTATTCAGGGTGTTTTCCAGGAGAGCATAATGCAGTGGCTGTTCTGCAGACATGGAAGGCTAAGGAACTCTAGGCAGATGGCCCGCAGCTCCATGGTTCATGAGTAGGTCTCCAGAAGAGCTCTTTCTCTGTAGAGTTCATGAATCAATCATGCCATTACTAGGAATGTTAGTTTTCCCAGAAGAGGATTACATATGACATTCCTAAAAAGGCTGTGATCAAGAAAGATAGTGTTTCTTTCCTGACAGTAGCAGAAATGCAGGGTGCCAGAACAGGAAAGATTCTGAGGATAAGCAGGTCAGAACCAGATGTGAACTCTCAGGTCCAGACAGGGGTAAAGGGCCAGATACCCAACATGCTAGTGCCTGTCCAAGATCCTGTTTGTCCACAGGAAACAGTATCACTCCAGCCACTATCTCATGTGGTCAGTTCCTTGAGCTTTGCATGGCAGTTAAGGTTCTGGCCTGCTGAGGGAGGAGCAGGTTTGAGTCCACATTAGCCAAAAGAGTGTCACATTAATAGCACTGTGAGTGACCTGCCATTCATCAACAAGTTGCTAGGCTAGAGCTCAACTCCAATACTGAACCGCAGAATCCATCTCTCTGCTTCTCTCCCCATTCTAAACTCCTGCCAAAAATGAGGGTGGAGCTCCTTCTAGGTGAGGCAGGGAATATGGACTATGAGGAAGAAAGGAAGACAAGAAGGGAGGGAAAAGAGGAGAAGAGAGAGGGAAGAGAGGAGAGGAGAAAGAGAAGAGAGGAGAGGAGAAAAAGAGGAGAGGAGAAAAAGAGGAGAGGAGAGGAGGGGAGAGGAGAGGAGGGGAGG